AAGGACTTGTATGCATGCATATAAGCATAACCAATGGACATAAGACACTGGGGGATAGGGGAGGCTACGGGACTGTCTAGGGCGGGGCGAAAAATGGACACATATGTAATACCCTTTGTAATACTTTAAGCAATAAAAAAAAGAAAAAAAAAGATGAAGTTGAAAAAGTAAATTCATTATTCAGTAATTAATTTACATATTTCTTCTTAATAATGCATTTAATGGATAAATAAGATATATCTGTTTCTAAAGAGTACTGGGTAAAAAATACATAGGTAACCTCCTTCAACTATGTGTCACAGTGAGTCAATAGTAAATGCAAGTCCTAATTTGTTGCCATGAGCAGGCAAACTTCCAGATGCTATAAACTGAATCTGACTTAAATCGATTTCACACTAAGATACCCAAAGATCTGCCATATCATTATTTTAATATAGGCCAGTTTATCAGCTGTCAAAGTGATCCCTTGAGTACTGAAGAATAAGAAGGCTGAAATTTACCCTTGCTCAAAATAAAACAAAATACAAAACCCTATTGATTATTTATAATGCCAGAAGCAAAAGCCCTCATTTAAAAGAGGGCATGTTTTCAATTTTTTCCCCTCATTTTACTTGGATTTTTATTTTTAAGGTTTGGCCTACATTTAAAATTTGTCCATCTGCTAAAGAATCTCATTTTCTTTATGGAATAAAACTAGTTCAAGAAGGCCACATCATAGTTATATAGAAACATGAAAATATTTACTCTCTAAAGACAACATTTATCTTGGCAGTTGGTATTTTCAAGTTGTTGAGCCTGCTGGAATCATACAAGCTCCAATCCGAATATAAAAAAATTTAAGTAAGACAATAACTCTCTTTCCTTGGAAGTACAGGAAACTTACATGTAACTGACTTGTGTGGTCTGCCACTACACATGCCATTCATAAATGTTATGGACAGAAGCTTGGATATATCTTTGGATGTTACTCCTCAAGCCTCAAACAACTGAACTTAAAAGGGCCTTATTATCTGTGTGTCCTTGGGTGAGATTGTGAATCTATTTCTTAACCTGTACAGTACCCCAACTTACCTTGAAGGTTTATTGGAAAAACTGAAATGATATTTGTAAAGGACCCACAGTGCCTAACATACAATAATTACTGTTATATTAGCAATTTTTTTATTACTAAAACATTAATATTTATCAGATAAGTTAATACTTACTTTTGTAAGGTCCTCCAGGTTCTGGACTGATTTCTAAGACAAAGAATAATTTTAATTAGTTTATATGTACACAGACTATCAAATGTTTCCAGAGTAGTATGCTCCTTCCAATTCCAGACCTGAATCAGACAGCACCACTATTACCAGATTCATGTGGATCTTTGCAGGAAATATTTATGTCTATACTAGTACCGAATATGCATAAGAAATGATAGCATACTGTACAGGGCATTCGGTTCCCTGATTTTTTCACTTAACACTACAACTTGTAGAATAGTCTATATCCTTAGCTATTAGTGCTGTCTCATTCTTTTTGATGCATAGATATAGCCTTATTTATCCAATAAATCTCATTTTTAATTTATGCAATTAAAAGATTATTTTTTTCCATTTTTACAAACAATGCTGCAATGAACATCCATGTATTCATTTTGCATATGGGAGGATATATCTATAGGGTAAATTCCTAGAAATAAAATTGCTAGATCGCATGGTATATGCACTTTCAATATTGAAAGCTATTGTAACTTTTCATAGAAGTTATACCAACTTAAGTTCCCACCAGATGTGTACAAGAATGGGTTTCCTCCACACTCACAGTGCATTATTAAGTGTTATGGTCCATACTGCCTGGTATGTGAAAAATCACATCATTGTGCTTTTAATGAGCATTTCTATTGTGACTGAAGCTTAAGATTTTTTTTAAATTTTTATTTTATCCTCACCTGAGGATATGTTTTTCTATTGGAGATAAACCCATAGAAGCTTCCTCACCAGGCCCCTATGAATTCATCCTTCCCTTCCAACCACTTCCTCATGCCTAGGCAGCCAATGATTTCTGTTCTGTCACCATAGACTAGATTGCATTTCCTAACATTTCATAGAAATGAAATCTTACACTGTGTATTATTTTTTTGGTTTGGCTTCTTTTGCTTATCATTACTTTGAGATTTACCCATGTTGTTGCATGTGTCAATAAACCATTACTTTTAGTGCTAAGTAGTATTCCCTTGTAAGGGAATTAGGCTGTATAAACATTTATGTACAAGTATTTTTTATGACTACACTCGTGTCCCAGTGCAAGGATTCATGCACATTGAAAGGAAATTAGAAGAAATGTTTTAATACCGCTATTTGCCCTTTCTCTATAATAGAAGCGTCAACCAAATTCATGATTGACAATGAAAGATCGAAACACATGTGTGCAATTGAGGCCAGTGAGAGCTTTATGTGTATGGCACATGCGTGAATCAACTTAGCCTTTTATATATATAGAATAAACTTGCTTAATTAGACCTGCTTTCTGATTTAGCTAAACTTTTTCCAGCCCAGTGAAGCACCCCAACTTCTCTTTCAGGTAATTGTCAGCAACACAGCAGTAAATATCAACATGAAGCAGATTTATTATTGTAGATCACACAGGGAGAACGAAGGGTAAAATATTTATCTGCAGCAATGTTTGACTATATTCTGCACAGTGAGAAAACCTGAAGTCATTTTCAAGGTCCACCATTTCATACTTCTTTTCAGTCGGGTCAAGTTTCTAAGCTTTCTAAATCTCTGTTCTCCAGCTAATGAAAATTGGATTCCACCAAGTCTCCTATCTACCTACTCCAGGACTTCTGGAGGATCAAATAAGATAAGGCATGGGAAAATGCTTCACAGATATTTGGCTAAAATGTAAATGTTTCCACCTGACTATAAAACAAGTCATGTTTCTGGGCTGAAGAAACTCCAAGGAGGCTAGTCACTAGGGAGAGGATGCTGGGCATTGCTATGTGACATCATTGCCCACAGCCACTGTTTCTGGGGCTGGGCTGGGTTGTGGGCTGCATTTTGAGCTATGGGGTCTCGGCAGCATCGGCTGCGATTTGGTGGGGTGTCACTCTGGGATGGTGGTGGAGCCTGTGACCCACTTGGGGGAAGCTAAGTGTTGCTCTGTGGGCACCAGGTCTACGGTGCCGTTTTTCTGTAAATGGCCAGTGTGCATCATGACAGCTCCTTAGTTGAGCATCTGCCCCCTGGTGGTCAGTGCACATCATTGCAACTGGTCAGACAGACACTTAGCATATTAGCTTTATATATATATAGATGCTTTTCTTTCTCTTGGGCAAATATCAAGGAGTTGAATAGCTGGACATACAGTAGGTATATGTATAACTTTTTAAGAAACTGCAAAATTATTTTCCAAACTGGATGTACCATTGGGCATTCCCATCACTAATAATTGTGAGTTCCACTTACTCCACACCCTGTCAACCCTTGGTATTGTCATCTTTTAAATTAACCACTCTTATGAATGTGGAGTGATTATCTCACTGTGGTTTTAACTTGTATTTGCCTAATGACACTGAGAATCTTTTCATATGATGATTTGCCACCTGTATATCTTCATTAGTAGAATGTCTGTTCAAATCACTTGCCATTTAAAAAAATTAGTCTATTATTGAATTTTGTGAATTCTTTATATATTCTGAATACAAATCTTTTATCAGAGATACAATTTGCAAAATATTTTCTCCCAGCTATATCTTGTTTTTCCTCTGAACAATCTCTTTTGAAGAGCAAATTTTCTTAATTTTTATGTCTAATTTATCAATCTGTCTTTGATGCATCATATTTTTGGCTTTATATCTATGAAACTTTTATTTAATTGAAAAATCACAAATATACTTCTATGTTTCCTTTGAGAAGTTTTATATTTAGGTTTATGATCCATTTTGATCTAATTTTTGTACATGGTAAAAGGTATAGATCAAAGTCCACATTTCTGCATATAGATATCAAATGGTCCAGCATACTTGTTTAAAAGGCTATTCATTTTCAACTAAATTACCTTTGCACCTCTGATCAAAATCAGGTGTCCATATGTGTGTGGGTTTATTTCTGGACTCTATTCTGTTGATCTATCTATACATCTTTTCATCAATACCATGCTGTCTTGGTATTGTACAAAAAAGCCTTTGAAATCAATTAGTGTAAGTATTCTAATTCTGTTCTTTTTCAAAACTGTTTTAGCTTTCTTAGGTTTTTGCATTTTCAAGGAAATATCAATTTTTAAAAGGCCTGCTGGAATTCTGATTTTGTATGTGTGTTGAATTTACAAATCGATTTGGGAAGAACTAACACCAATATTGAGCTTTCTGATCTATGCACATGGTATATCTCTTCACATATTTAGAGATATGTTCTATCTCTCAGCAATGTTTTATAGTTTTCACTGTACAAGTCTTTCACATCTTTTGTTAAATTCAACCCTAGGTACAGTCAGTTCTTGCTAGTTGCTATAGTTAGATTCTGTAAAGTTGTTGCAAACACTGAATTAGTGAACACCTATGGGAAATACAGGGTTAGGTTCCTATGAGCCTCTGATCACAACATTCTGGTCAACTAATCAATATGTAAACTTATTTTATGCATTTTTCTTTTAAAGACACCTAGTTTATTAATATACATTTATTTATTTATTTTTATAAATAATTGTTTATAGTGTGAAAGTTGAAACAAAAAGGCAGAGTGTTGCCTTGTTCAACCTCAGCTAGCAACTCAAAATTTTCACTATGCTGTTCATGTCCAAAATTGATTGGGTAAGTGTCACGAGTATTGATTTGAGGGTTACAATAAATTTTAATGAGCAAGCGAATTTGCAAATATGGACTCTTAAAATAATGAAGCTCATTACATGTTTGATGCTATGTGAACTGTGCTTCTGCAGTGCCTTTAAAAAAAACCCTCACATTACAGTCCATGCTATCTTTGCCTTATATTCTATATTTTACATGATTACTCAGAAGAGTTGCATTTCTAAAATATATTTTTTTAAAAATGCTCATACACACACACACACACACACACACACACACACACACAACTACATAAACATGGTTGCACTCATTAACTCTCTCATAAATGAGAATTTTCTCATTTCCTCTCTACCATCCTCCTCCACACACTTTTTATTGATTTTATAATGTTTCTTGCAGTTTGCTTTTTTAAACCATTGAATACTTATATCTTTCTATTTTAAATTATAGGTATTGTATCCCAGATATAAAATCTGAGGGTATTAGCATGCATACACTACCTCTCACCTTTTCCTCTCTCACCTTTTATTTTATTATTTCTACACTGTCAGGCTTTATAACCTTTATATTCTATTCTGTAGCAATCACTCTACATTGTTTTAGTTCTTCAGAGCACAATGAATTCAATTATTAAATGCTAGTCTCTTTGAGAGTCTCCATTCACCTCCTATTTGGCTGAAATTTGTCTTCTGGTAATTTCTTCAGTAAGGGTTTATAAAAATTGTATGTCCTGAGTTCTTCCATGTTCACCAATATTTGTCTGTTGTCTGTATATTTAAAAGAAATTTTGGGTAAGTAAAGAAAGCTTGGGTCCCTAGATTATTAAATCCTTAGGCAAAAGAATCAGAGCATCTAGCATCGTGCAATAACCTTTTGAACAATCAATCCTCAGATGAAAAGAGTCACTAACAAAAATGAATAAAAGGTATTGTTTACAAAAATGCTTTCTCTTATGCATATTCTATTGTAAAACTTTTACATTCTAGCTCTTGTTGATGAGAATACAAATGTATTCAAAGCAATAGGGATATCATATAAACAAGAATCCAATGGTGACCAGGACAGCACTGGAACATCTCAGAGAAAACAGTCTGATGTGGAAAATCTGTAGACAATCCATCCTATATAATAAAAGCCTAATATGCTAAGTGTCTGGCTGTCCAGTCATCCATTCAACCAATCAGAGTAATACGCTAATGATATGCTAAGGCCACTCAACCACTCACTATGATGTGAACTGATCACCAGGGAGCAGACTCTCCAACCAGTAGGTTAGGTTGCTGCTGGGATCCAGCCGATTGTGACTGAGCGAGATGGGCCGACATGCCCTGGAGCCCTCCTGTGGTCCCTCCCTGGCTGGCCAACCTCCCGCGTCCCTGTTGGGTCCCTCTTGCAATCTTGGGACCCCTCAGGGGATACCAGATATCTGGTTTTGGCCTGATCCCACAG